TTACTAGTGCATGCCCAATCAACATTCCTTTTACTGTGTTCAGTTTATTTGACTCTGTAGTCAAAGTACGATAGTCACAACGTACATAGGGAAATTAAAGAACTCACAAGGTATAGAAATATAACTGACTCTAACGGAAACATTGTCATGGACATACAGAGTAAAATAAGAACGTGGAAAGAATATCTAGTATTGTTCTGAAACTATTTTCTTGTGGCATTTTAAATTAATTACTATTTAAATGGGAATATGATCGCCAACATTTGTAACGGATAGGCGCATCAAGAAGAAGAGAAGCAGTTCCTCTATTCTTTTTGTACATGGTTAATCGATTAAGATATTTCCTCTGTTAGTTTTGGGATTCTCTCCCAATATTACTCATTACTTTCTCTAGTCCAGTTCTGGTTGGTAGTGTTTACCCTGTTGGTAGTGGTACTCCTTGTTTCTCCATACATTCCTATCTCGAATAGACACTGTATGCAGTCTTATTCTGGTTTCTTATTAAAAGTATCCTTCGTCACAGTCCTTGTTGTACTCATGTGTTCATTCATTTCAAAGTTTCAGTGATTATTTTATTCTGTAGGTTCCCAATCTTGCTTCTGCTTGTATCATCAAATGCAAGGGAGGTAGGCCTAGTAGAGCCTCCATAGCTGCTTGTTCGAGTAGTACGCATAGCACTATAGAGTTTCATACACTTGCGTCTTTGCAACTTGCTGAATTTAGATTTTGTTTCGTTGACCTTTGACTTTGTTTCGTTGTTTGAAGTGTTTTAGTCCATCATATCGTCGCTGCATAGATATTCGTGACAAATTACTTTGCATTTTTTATTCTACTTTGACTATTTGGTTGAAAATCTCTTCAAGTACTTCCTTGTCACACCTTAATTTCTATAATAAAGTGGAGTATAGTTTTAGGAATCAAATCAAGAATAATTCGTCTCTGGTATTTATTCTTTTTATTCTTCTACTGGTCCATATGGTGTTTATACTTAAGTACAATGTGTTAACTTTATAGATAATTTTGACTAGACATATCACTCTATAATTTTCGTATTAGCGGTTTTCTGTTGTTTTATTTATTAAGCTGATTTTTTCTCCTACTTTAAATTTTTGACTAATCTCAATTACTGCATGTCTGACGTGTTTTATTTCTACTTGCACGTTTACTTTAAATAACATAGGTATCACATTATTTCTTCCTGTATATTCTCGGCAAATTTCTAATATTGCTTTTTTGTGAATTTTTTATGATTATCTTGTTTTATTTAGTCCAAGATGTTGCCGGTTTTATAAAATAAACATCAATAACAAGTGTTATATAACGCAAAGATAATATTTACATTTGCAATCAAAATAAACTTAGTCATGTAATAGAACTGTTAGGAGACAAGACCCGCATTCAACTTCCTGAATTGTATATTATTATTTATTTTGATCAGTTAGATTTATTTTAATTGAAAATACAAAAAACGTCGATATGCCAGTTTGTTATTAGTTCCCTCTTTAAGTACACTTCATTATTGAATACTATAGCGAGTTTCCCAGCAGTGTGAATAATATTTGTGTATAAAATGATCGAGTTCCCCGATTTTTGAACAACAATTTTTTTGTTCAAGGCTCTTTCTCCATACAAAACATAATTCTCCTAAATAAAAACTGTGTTAAATTCATTATATTTCTTCGACATTTTATTTTTGCAATATCTTAAAACATTTGTGAGTTTAGTTGTTAGGTACTATAAACTCTTCTGGCTGTGAAATAATAGTACTGTACCAATTGCCATTTAGAATTCGTGTTTCACTATTATTAAATACATCTCGATTTAAATCAACCAATTCTTCCTTCTACTTCTTCTTCTCGTAGCACTACAACTTGGGGTGGATCTTGGCTGACTGCACAACTTGATTCCTTCTTGAACGATCGTCCATAATAGTTGGATCAGTGGGTAGTCCCATTGTTCTTCGATCTGACCATATATTGTCTCTCCATCGAATTCGTGGACGTCCTAAGGACCTTCTTCCTGTGGGGGCTTTCTCCCATATTAACTTGGCAAGGCGGCTATTAGGGAGTCTATGGACATGGCCAGCCCATCTTAGACGTTGATATTTAATCTGTTGAATTATCTCGCTGGCTCTATACATCTGCTTGACCTTATTATTTGTTTTTATTCGGTATTTGTTGCTATTAATGTCGTGATAAGGCCCAAAGATTCTTCTCAGGATTTTCCTCTCAAAATATCTAAGTTCTTTTTCAGTTTCTTTGGTCAGGATCCACGTCTCACACCCATACATGAGAACCGGTCTAATCACCGTTTTATATATACTAATCTTTGATGTTCGTGTTAGGCTCTTAGAGTTAATAGTATTGTGGAGGCTGTACACACATCTATTTGCTGCCTAAATTCTTCCTTTAAAATCTTCCGCGATATCGTTATCTGCAGTGATTGTTGCTTCGAGATATTTAAAACTCTTCACTCTTTCAAAGTTATGGGTCTATTGTAACAGTTTGCCCTATTCTATCTCGTCCATTTTGTCTGTTAATGCACTTCGTTTACCCTTAAACCAGTTTTCTTTGCCTCTATCTCCAAGTTATTAAATCTCCTTCACATTGGTGACTGTGTTTCCCACAATGTCATATGCGTATGCTAGTAGTAATTTTGGTCCATTTACTGTCAGTAATTCTGTACAATAACATAACACATAACTTAACAAGCTGGATAAGTTTTTTGGAACTGAAAGTTCTTCCATTGCATTCCCCATCTAATCCCTTTAAATGCTATTAAATTCCTATCCTTTTTCAAGCAGCTGTCTTAGAGTAAAGATCTGATCTGTGGTCAATATAATGTTTTCTAAAGCCGGCTTGGTATTCCCCCATGAAATTTTCTACTTCTTCTCGTGCCACTCCTAGCGGAGATTGGCAATCATCATGGCCACTGCGACTTTGTTAGCAGCGCGCCTAAAAAGTTCAAACGAACTACACCCGAACCATTCACGTAGATTACGAAGCCACGATATTTTCTTCTTCCCACATTTCTTTTGCGCTTAATTTTGCCCTGCATGATGTTTATTAAAAGTTCGTACTTTTCACCTCTCACAATGTGCCCCAAGTATTCCATCTTTTTAGTTTTTATCTCATTTAGAATTTCGCATCTTTTGTCTAAAGTTTGGTGTACTTGCGTGTTAGTGACGCGGTCCATCCATGATATTCTGATAATGCGCCTATAGCACCACATCTCGAAAGCTTCGATGTTTTTTATGGTCAACTGTTTTAGTGTCCAAGCCGCAACTCCATATAACAGGGTAGAAAAGACATAACACCGCAACATTCGTATTCGTAACTTTATATTGATATCACGATTGCAAAAGTGTTTGCGCATTCTATTAAAGACTGATCTAGCAATTTCTATTCTACATCTAATCTCTTTTGTTTGATCAGTATCGTCTGTGATCCAAGCACCTAGATATTTATAACAGGGCACACTCTCAATCGTTGTATTATCTATTACAAGATTAGCTCTGATGTTCTTTGATTTCGTGATTACCATAAATTTAGTTTTTTTCAAATTAATTTTCAAGCCGTAACTGTTACAGTATATATTGAGACTTTGAACGAGATGTTGTAGTTTTACTATCCTTCCCGTTAGAAGAACTGTATCGTCAGCATACCTTATATTGTTGATCGTCTCACCAGTTATTATCAGACCAAGATCTTCTTCCTCGAGTGCTTGTTCACAGATAGCTTCACTATACAGATTAAATAAAAGTGGCGATAAGATACATCCCTGCCGGACTCCTCGACGGATTTGAATTTCTTCTGTTAGTCTGCCCTCAACCTTGACATTTGCTGTTTGATTCCAATATAGATTGCATATAATTCGAATATCTCGGCTGTCTATATTTTTCTTTATTAGAACTTGTCTTAGTGGTTCATGTTGTACTTTGTCAAAGGCCTTTTCGAAATCAATAAAGCAGGCGTAAATTTCTTGGTTCATGTCTAAACATCTCTGTGAAAGAACGTTCATTGCAAACAGAGCCTCCCTTGTACCCAGCCCTTTTCTGAATCGCATCTGAGTGTTACTGATAATTTTTTTACAAACGGTGTCAACTTACTTAATATGATGTTCGATAAGATTTTATATGCCGTATGGTGTTGTTTTTTTTTTATGGATGGGGATTATTACACTTTCGTGCCATTTTGTTGGTATTTTCTCTTCGTTTCATATAAGTGTTATTAGTTTGTGTATTTGTCTATGTAGAATTTTTCCTCCTTTCTTAATGAATTCAGCCAATATATTGTCAGAGCCTAGAGCTTTTCTGTTCTTCAATTTGTTAATTGCTTGCAATGTTTCATCTACTTTGGGGTCTTCTACCGGTAGGTCCACTCCAAAATATATATTTTTTCCATGTATGATGTATGTTTCTATGTCTTGATGTATGTTTAGTAAAATCTTGAAATATTTCTGTCATGTTTGGAGCCTTTTTTTCTCTCTAATTAATTTTCTTGTTTCTCGGCGTGAAGTTGCATAGTTTTCTTTACTTTCTACTGTTCCATGTTGAAGCATAATGTTTCGCTTTATTTGTCTGTCGTGTAGTTTTTCTTGACATTCTATATCAAACCAGTTCCTTGTTCTCTTTCTGCTTTTTCCTATTATTAGTTTTCTAATATTCGTTATACGTCTAATGGTAATTAAAATTATATAACAATGGAGACAGTATACATCTTTCTCTAAAGCCACACTTATGTCGATGTGTTCTGACATGTTGCTATAAATTTTTAGGCCTGCAATTTTTAACTATTACAATTATTATGAGGCGATTTTACGACTATTGTTAATCAAACTATAATTTTCAATACTATCTGGGTTTTAACACAACTAAAAGTCTTTTGATAATCCATGAAATGGTCTAGTATTGAAGTATTGTCATCCTTAACTAAGTGTTAATATATCTAAACATGCTATAATCTTATTTCTTAACAACTAAAATATTTGTTTATTTTTAGATAACGCTGTTGTTCTTAGTCCTTGTTGCAGTGGCGATAAACGCCGAGGCCAAGGAGAAGAAAAGCGCAGAAGCAGACGACAAGAAACAAAAGAAACGTGGCCTACTCAGCTTAGGATACGGGTATGGTGGAGATTTTGATAATGGCTACCACGTAGGACAAGGTGGATACGGTCTTGACGGTGGTTACACACTAGGATTAGGCCATCTCGACTTAGGACACACTACTTCCATTGAGAAGACAATAACTTTGGTTAAAGGAGTACCTGTACCATACCCAGTAGAGAGACACGTCCCTTACCCAGTTACCAAACACGTACCTTACCCAGTAAAGGTACTAGTACCACAACCATATCCAGTAGAGAAACCAGTAGCATATCCAGTTAAAGTACATGTTAAAGTACCAGTACCAGTTCCTCAACCCTACCCCGTTGAAAAAATTGTCCACGTCCCCGTTAAAGTACCAGTCGACAGACCATACCCAGTTAAAGTACTTGTTCCACAGCCATATCCAGTTGAAAAACACATCCCAGTACCAGTCAAAGTTCCAGTACCTCAACCCTATCCAGTAGAAAAACCTGTACCATACCCAGTTAAAGTACCAGTCCATGTACCTCAACCTTACCCAGTTATTAAGCAAGTACCAGTACCAGTTAAAGTACCTGTCGACAGACCATACCCTGTCCACGTACCACAACCCTACCCAGTACATGTTATTAAGAACATCCCAGTTCCAGTTGAAAAACCAGTACCATACCCAGTCAAAGTACATGTCGACAGACCATACCCTGTTCCAGTAGAAAAACCATACCCAGTACCAGTTAAAGTACCTTATCCAGCACCATACCCAGTAGAACGACCAGTACCAGTACCCGTCGAAAGACCCGTACCATACGCAGTGAAAATCCCAGTCGACAGGCCCGTACCTTATGCTGTTGAGAAACCTGTAGCAGTACCTGTTGAGAGACCAGTACCATACCCAGTAAAAGTACCAGTCGCAGTACCAGTAGAAACCCACCACGGCTATAGCCATGCTGGCTATGACGATATCTACGATGGTGGATATGAGTATGGCCACAAATAAGTTTTTGTAGTAGTTCGCACTATGTGTGTGTACCTTTTTAGAGTACCTATCAATCTTGTAAAGCTATTTATATTTTTCCCTTTTATGTTACCTGTTTCTCAATAAAAGCTGTTATATTTTTTATAAACTATGTGCATTATTATGAATAGCATGATTTTAAGACATAAAAGACATAAAAATGTGTCGGATTATAGTAATGGCATGAGGAATAATGGAAAACTGGATACTTAAATAAACAAATTACCGTGGAAGAACTAACTACTTACAGTCTATTCCATGAATATATGATTGTTTTGGATATTATCGCGACAATGAATAGTTTGCGGTGCAATATAAGAAGCACAGAAGTAAATTGCTTTAATGGTGATTCCAATAAAAAGGATCGATCCACTGTCACTTTGACATCATTTAGTTCTGATTCTAATTTCAAAGAGTGAGTTTGTGTACTAAAGCCAAAAATGCCGTGATGTGTTTTAGATATAAATAACTTTATATTTAATCTGCATGCTTATTTCACTGCTAAAAAAACCAATTGGGGTCCTTTGCTACTAGTTTTATCTGTTCATAAGCGTGTGTATTAGTGAAACAAAACTAAAGCCAGTTTTTCAAAAAGCAAAAAGTCGACAAAGTCGACAAACATATCTTCCTGAAGGTTGCAAAGATGAAATCCGTGAGACTATTATATAGATGCGTAAAAAGAAAGAACATGTTTTTTAGATTCAATGTTAAAGAAATTAAAAGAAAGAATTGTATTTGAAATGTCCAGAAAGTCTCTGGAGAGTTTTGAGACAGATTGAGTTTAAGTTCAAAAATAATGACAATAAAAATACTGTGTGTGATGGAGCTGATGTTTACAAAAGAATAGAATTTTTAAGAACTTATAACAAATTTAAAAAATAATGTAATTACTATTTTAATGGGAATAAGCTACAATTGAAGTTTAAAATTAGTTTATTCTTATATTCTTTCACTACTATTTCAAAATAATTATAGATTACACATTATGTTATTCATATAGTAGGCTGATGTACTTAATTGTTTTGAAATATTTGACGTTTATTCAGCGTTTAGTGTCATTCGTGTATTTTATCATAAAAAACCTTCACGTAAAGGAAAAACCATAGTAATTCGGTTATTTCTTAATTTAATTTATTAAGTTACATTAAATATTGTATTCATGTATTTATGTTTAAAAGAAGTAGGTACTTAGGCAACCATTTCGACACTGCGATGAAGCCGAATTAACACAATTTGTAATTTTGTACGAAGAAGGATATACACAAAAAGATCATCGAAGAAGTCAATAATATATAGTTTCGAATACTTTAAAAGAGTAACACGAGACAGGAAATTTCGTACGAAGGCTGGTCAAGGACGCCCAAGGTATACAACCGCAATTGATAACCGTTTTTTGGTTCTTAATTCTACAAGAAATCGCTTAATGACATGGATGCACCTCAGAAATGACCTAATAAACGTTAGACAAGCTAATGTTAGTTCAAAAACAGTTAGAAGAAGATTAAAAGAAACAAACTAAAAGCTTAGACGCACTGTCAAAATTCCACGTCTTCTCCAAAAGCATAAAGCTCTTCATTTGGAATTTGCATATTCAGTGGAATATTGCCTACTAGAAAAATGTTCTTGTCACTGATAAGAGCAGAATCCTATTATAGAAGCCAGATGGTCTAAACCACGTCTACAGAAGAGTTGAACAACGATTCACCACCGGCAATTTCGCCCACACCATTAGTTTTAGAGATGGTGGTATAATGCTTTTGGATAGGTATCAGTTGGAAAGTACGCACCTCACTTGTGAAAGTAATTGGACTGGTCACTTTTAGGTTTAAAACATCCAGCAAGATCATGTTTTACCATATATCGGTTACATTGGATGTAACCGATTCTTGTTAATGCACGATAATGATCAACCACATGCCACTGCCATAGTGAGTTATTATCTTGATGAGGTCCAAATTCGAAGAATGAATTGGCTACCATTAAGCTCTCATTTAAATCCAATAGAGCACATGTGAGATCAACTAAAACGCCGCATACGACAAAGAAATCCCGTTCCCAATAATATAGAGCAGTTTCGGCTTGCTACAAAGAATTAACGGAATGTAATTTCCCAAGAATATGTTTAAAATTTACTTGTAAGCATGCCGAGAAGGATACAAGCAGTAATAAGAGCTAGAGTTAAAAAGAGTTAATAGTTTCTGTTAAAAATGCTTGTTTAATCAATTTTAATTAGTATTTAAGTGTAGAGTAAAATAATTGTATTCCCATTAACACATTAATACTTTAAGATGTCAAAAGAAAATAGCTTCAGAAGGAAACATGGATTTTTGCTAAAGGCGGATAAAACGAATTTCTCAGTACGAGAGTATCAAATCCATAAAATATATCGAGACCAACGGAAAGAGACATACATATTGTAGTGCATACAGGGGGAAATTTTTATGACGAATCCGATCTTGTGTTTTCATCAAAATCAAAATTGGCCCTTTTAACATGACAATACGATAAACCCGGACTACTCTGACCCATTTCTTAAAATCGTTTAAAGCAAATCTCAATAAATCTTAACATTTTTCTACTACTACGTTGTGTTCATCTGTTTTACATAGGTAAACTATCTAAAATAACATGTATAAGCGTTTTAGTGTAAAAAAAATATTACTGTTTTAATTTTTTAACCTGGGCTAATGTTATTCTTATAGGGTTAAGTACTTTGACCCAATTTTACCTACTTTAAAACAATTTCTAAATAGCTATAGTCAAACAAAGATATGGGTTTATTTATTAATAGTATATTTATATGACAGACAAAAAGACGTTTTTTTTTTTTAAAAAGACACAAAAATTAAGAAAAGCTACAAAAATGAAGCTTTAGCAAGCAATTCACGTTTTTTACAACTTGCTGAAAAGTAGTCCTCTTTTTTACAGTTTTGGAGGCTGGATTTATTTCTTAAAATCACTGCATTTGTAAAACAGAGTTATTTTCTTTTAATCACTACCAAAACTTGTTGGTACATTACATGCATTCAACAACAGCACCTTCTTCTCACATATTAAGACTATTCCAGGGAACTGTAGCTTATAAAATTCAATAACAACGAAGTTTCCTTTTGGCAGATTTGACTTTTATTCTTCTTCTTCGTTGATTGAGTGGTTGAGTGAAACAAGAATGTAATGGTCATTATTTTCTTCCGAAGACGAAAGTTCCATGTGTTTTTTATTTATTTTTCTCTGTTATTTCTTATCTTTTTATTTCTCCTCTAAACCTATCGGCCGCTTTTTTTAAGTCTTCTCCTTTCTTTTTCTGTTTTCTTTTTCTTTTCGGTTTACATCTTCTTTTCTTTCTTTTTTTGACCTTTTTAATTCATTTTATTTTCTTAATAATGAATAATATCATCAGCTGTTACGCTTTTACTAGCAGCAACGTCTATTTTATTTTTGTTTCATAAATCAGGATTTAACAACAACTTTCCTGTTCCAAACGGCGCATAAATGTTTGTCCCACCAATTTCAAATTAACTGTCAAATTTTGGGAAAGCTCGCGATTCAAAAGAAGTGCTTGTTTGTCGAAAAAATGTATCCGACCTTTTTAAAACCAGACTTTAAGTTTTCCTTTTAATGAGGCTCAAAGTCATTCAAATATTTTTTCAGCAATATTTTAAAAATATCTTTTGGTAATGTGGCAACAGTTTCACCACTATCAAAATGTTTTTATTTGGTAAGAATCTGTAGCTATTTACTTTTGAGAGGTCTAAAATTGGCTTCAAGTGGTTATGTTAGATGCGAGGAGTTTGGATGTAAGCATGCGAATTGGATAATATTCTCTTCGCTTTTAGCCTGATTACGTTTAAGCTTACATGAGAGTAAAATAACGGATAACTACCTTTTTAACTTCTTGTTTCTTTTGGAAGATTGAAAGAAGATATGTAGCCAACCAATCTTCAAATGTTGCTTCATCGATCCAACCGTTCCTTTAGGGCCACCTTACAAACATGTGGTCCACAAATGTTTACCCTTATAAAACATATAAGGTGTCACAGAGATACATGTTTGACATGTATTGGCATTTTACCACAAAACATAATGTTAATGTTGGACTTGAGTTGAATTTATGATACGCTCTGATTTCGTGGGTATATATACTACTAACAAGGAGGTATTTAGAATGATAAAAGCAGATATATGTAGAACTGCTAAACATAGTTAAAAGATAAATAAAATACTTTGATCACATTATCATAAAACATAAATACCAACTAGTGCATCTCATTATTCAGAAAAAATTGTGAAAAATATCCACCAAGGTGGATAGTCAATGATTAGGCTTTAGCAACTTGGAATATAGTGATACAAAACAATGATGAAGCCAATAATTGTCATTACATATTTTTTAAAACAAACCAAAACAAATTAAGTTATTTATTTTTTTATTAAAGTTTTAAATCTGTTTAATACCCAATAGACACTCTTTCATACAGTTTAAAGGATTGCAGGATTGCATAAACAGTAGAAAAGAATATTTAAATTTCTTAGAACTGCGCTCATGGTTGTCTATATAAAAGTTTACAATTATTTTAATTGGAAACAATTAAAATTCTTCAAGTATTCAGTATTTATTTGAATACTGATTTTTTTAATAATAGTAGATTAATAATTTAAAGAAAATGGATCATGCTATTTTAGACAACGATATTAGTCCCGATTACATAAATTAATATTATAAAAGAAAACAATTTAGATTCCTGAAAACTGATCGCATGGTTGCCTATATTAAAGGTGACAATTTAAATAACTGATCGAAATTCCTAATTATTTATGATTCATTATTTATTTGAATATTGATTAATACATTAGTAGCAAATTAATAATGTAAAGGCAACGCAACATGATATTTTAGTGAAATAGCATAGTACAATTTAAACGATTTAAACAAGATGCTTGATAGGTATTTTTGGAAATTAATATTTAGAAATGAAAAAGGTTTAATTTTATGTTTTAACCAAAAAATATCAATGAAATTCAAACACCTCTTGTATATTTTGGAAATTTTGTACATGGAATCGAACCCTCGATTCGATTGGCAGTTTAAATTACCACTATATTTTTGCT